CTTGCTTAACTCGGTTGTATTTAGCGATGAGTTCAGATGTTGCTCATTACAATGTTGTACTCATCACGACCTATGCTATTCTTGCTACCTTCTCAAGTGGGGACATACCGAGACAGTGAGATGCGGCATCTTTCTTTTCGTATTATTATTCGGCCGCGATTCACTACACTATGTAAGCTCAATGGTATTACTCATCAGACTATGCTATCTACATTCTGGTTTTGAAATCGGTTTGTAGATTGCATAACCGTAGCTTGACAAGCTGCTTAATGCTATAACTAGCACGACGCTTAGAGAGCCGGTGAGTCGCAGAATAATGGTTGAGTCCATCCATTAGCTCATTCGTATTGGACGTGCGCGCGATGATTCCGAGCGAATTGTGTGCTTGATACGAATCAATGCTAAGGTGGAAAATTAGTGAGTCTGTTACCAGTTCGATGGATACATTTGAATCAAAAGGTTATCATTGCTTGCCCGCTGACAGTAAGCAGAAAGGGTAAAGTCTGACACTTGGAACACAATGTTCAACGATTGTCCTTCGTGTGACCACGTTACGCTATGCATTCGAAGAGAAATTTCCCTGGAAATTCTGTGGCAAGTGAACAATCCACACAATTAACCGACTAGCGATTATCACGATATCGACAGCTCTGGTTCCGCTCCGCAGGTTAGGGATGAGAGTGAGCATAGTTATATTTCTAGTTGTTCAAAAAGCCATACTGAATTTACCGGGGGCTTATGAAAAGGCACGTACTAAGCGGATGGAATGCGGAATCGCAGAGACGCCTACCAAATATTGCATTGCACATGGCCAATCCGTTGGATAGACGAAGAAAAATGTTAAACACAAGGGGAATGGTACGTAAGCGTATTAGTATATTACAGCCCACGCCCTTATGCTCAGTGGCTTCCCTCAGGGCTCTGTCTTTATTAACGACCATACTTCAACTCTCTGGTTCGAATGCTTGATCTATGCTGACGATTTGAAGTTATGGATGAAGGTATCAGGCTCTGAGAATGCTCACCGACTCCAAATTACACTTGATTTGCTGCACGATTGATCAATTATATATACAAATATTTATATATACATATATATATATATGGCTGGCGGCATCCGGTTTCGGATTTGCCTGTCACTGTGGCCAGCCACAGGACGCCTGCGCCTACAGAGGGACCATGGATGGCTTGCGCTGCACCACCCACAGCTCCAACCACACACCCCATATCCAGTGTAAACCCGAAGGAATAAAACTGAGAGGCATGTGGATGGGAGCCACGTGTCAGCAACGGAGCCGGCTCACACTCCTTCACAGGCGCACAAAAGCACGCTGTATTTGGGGAATCAGGCGCACCCCGAGCGGTGGCTGGACCGTGGTCTGCTCCACACTGAGTGCGTGGAACCACTCTTTGATCCTAAGATGGCCACAAGGACCGTGCACCCCGTCCCCTCCAGCAACGACCAACTATATCCTGGAGCCAGTATGGACGAGGTAGTGGGTAATAGACAGGTAGGCACTTGTCAACATGCACATCAAGCGCAGCCACACCGGGGATATCAAACAACAGCCAATCACTTGAGAGAGATACAAAGAAAAAAACTCGATTAATGCATAAGGAAACGGTGACATAAAGCCTAAATTAATGAGCATATGAAATAAGTTGTTTACAAACGAATCCTAGATAAGTTCACGAGGTCAGAAAGTATACTTTACAGAAATGCCACGAACACAAAATGTTATGGAAATCGAATACAATTGGCTTAAGCGAGGTGTGCAAGTTAATGGAATAGAGTACAGGTAGACATTTATATGAGAAAGAAAAGCATTAGGCAAAATGAAAACCCACCACCTGAAATAAAGAGACTTAGCATGCAAGCACGCGGTTAGTAAATCGAATGCAGCGTACCTACAAACGCTGCGCAGGATGTGTCTACGTTCTCTGCAGGACCCGTCGTCGCTTCTGTTGTGGTACCCGAGTGGCCTCGCTCATGACTCACTAGACACTAGACATTTATAGAAGAAAGGCATTAGGACAAAACTGAAAACCCGCCACCTGAAATAATGAGACTTAGCATGCAAGCACGCGGTTAGTAAATCGAATGCAGCATACCTACAAACGCTGCGCCGGTTCTGCCTATGTCTCTCTGCAGAACCCGTCGTCCCTTCGGTAGTAGTCCCGAGTGACCTCGCTCATGGCTCACTAAACCTGCCTGACTAAGGCACTCGCGAACGCATGTTCTACAGCACCATGCGCTTGATGTCGATGGAGTACAATTCATCGGTGCTTGCCGCTTCCGCACTTGCCGCTTCTTCTCTGCATGCATGAGAGCTCTCTCCTGCACTTCAACAACTGCCTTCGTGATTAGATCGCGCCATGCAAGCCAATCAAACGCCTTCGATTCCCATGATCTGCAATCAAGGTTAGAACATGTGGGGCTCACTTTAATCATGTCCTGGTAACGTAACTTTGGTTTCCCCACGTGCCACTTCTCAATACTCAGCTAACCGTATAAAAGTGGTTTCGGTATCCGCGTCGTATCCATACGGCACACATGACCGAGCCATCTCAGGTGTCTCAATAAAAGTATGCAGTCCACCGCATACATCCCACTTCGGCGCAACACTTCCGTGTCTGCAACTCTGTCGCCCCAGCCGATTCCGCAAAATTCGTCGCAGACACTGTTGATGAAACCGCTCGAGATATCGCATATCCCGACGGTACATCGTCCACGTTTCACTGCCGTATAGAAGAACGGACAGTACCATGGATTTGTACACATCAGCTTTGTGCCAATGGTAAGCTGATGGTTGTTCCACACTCGGTACTCAAGCTTCCCGAATGCTGCCGCTGCCTTCGACACGCGAATACGCAGCTCAACGTGCAGCTGCTGATCAGTCGACATCACATTCCCAAGGTAGCTGAAACGGGAGGTGGTTTCCAATACTTCAGCACCAATGCTGATTCGCGGCAATATGGAAGATATATATATATATATAATATATATATTATATAGGTCAGCGTAGCATTGCTCGCGTGTGGTGGCAACATTACGTAAGCAACACAGAAGTTCGAGATCGAATGCTTGGTGCAAAGTGCTCATGCATCAAATACGTTATTCCCCGACACCGCATGCTTTGCCTGAATCACGTATTATGCATGCCAATCTATTGTCTTTCCTGTCGAGGGTTATTTGCGTTCCCCCCGGAAACGACTGGAGGAAGTGCTACAGTGGGCAACCAATGACGTACAGAAGAAGCATGACGAAAGAAGCCTCAAGCTCATCACCCATCGGACCGGTCAGCCTTCCAGGATGGGGATTAGACAACTCGTACTGTCAGTAGTTGGGGACGCTCGAGCAAATAGGTCAGATATCATAGCGGCACAAGAGGACCGCATGGACAGAGGCAAGGTACGACCTGCTATTCAGCTTGAGACTGATAAGGCGACGACTCCAGTAAGGTCTCAGTCTGGTGAACGCAAGGTGGACCTTTGCGACCCGTTGTGAGACCACATCTCCAACACCGAAGCCAGTCTTGATGCAACTTCTTAGGTAAGTGAAGTTTGGATTTGTTTTAAGAGGCCACTAGTAATTGTGAGGGCAGGTACAGTCATCTGTCAACCCAGGAGTAGTAGTTTACATTTACCCGGGGTGATATACAGGCCATACTTAGACGCTTCCGTCATTAAGCGGTGCAAAGCGCTTCGGACGGCTTGTGAATCATCCTCAACCAAAGCGATATCATCGCGCGATCCAAGTCCGCGATTCCGTCACTGGGAAGAACTTCAATACCGCAGTTTTTGACGCCTTCAAATATTCGTAGGATGTCATATGCAATGGAAAAATTGAAGAAGGGTAGGACAAGGCAACCTTAGTGAAAGTCGTTGATGTCAGCAAACGGAGAGGAAAGCCCACGGTAAGCCCTGACGTTGCAACGGATTAGACGGGCGGTAGCCATGTGTAAGACAACAACCAGTCAAAACGTTGTGTACAGTGAACTGTGGAGTCGGAGGCAATTTACCCACATGTTAGCAATACACCCATTCGGTGCAGCCACCAGAAGTGGTCCGAAATAACCGTAATGCATCGCCCTGCAGTCTGTTTCTGATTGAGAGACTGAAGTTTAGCCATTATCTGAAAAAAGACTTATTAGAAGAGTTGTTTGTTGACTTTGACAATTTCGCTGCAAAGTTTTCCTCACCAATTAAGGTGACCTTATCAGCGTATTAGTGTGTAGCGGAGCGAGGCGATACGTAAGTAGTTGCGAACCGGGTGTACATTTGCATGGGTAATCGTCAAAGGTCGATTGGACAGGTGATCTTTGAAAATAGCCTCCTTGACCCATGCATAGTGCCCACGGCTTGTTTGCCTCCACAAATGAAAATCTTCCCAGAGCGATTCGTATGGTGTCCCCCTTTTCTTATCAGTATTCAACCGAGGTGGTGATTAGATGCTCGCAGATCTGCCTAGATAGTGTACAATCCAAAGTGTCGACAGATCGAATTGGCGCTGTATGAATCCTTCGCAAAACTACGAGCGAAGAAGTATCACCACAGTGGAGTACCCCTAGTAGAAAAGGTCATCATACGAGCAGTTCGGGCCACATTTTCAGCTACGGATGCGAATGGGCCATGATCACAAGGAATGGGTCGGAAAGGTCATATGCAAACGTCAACTGGCCAATCGACCCATGATGATGACCTAAAGGAGCGCACGCGCACGACTACTCGGTCCACTCCACTCCACTGCACACTAAAGCACCGATGAGGTCACCACGAATGGTGAAGAAACAGTAACAGTAACACTACCAAGCTCAGCGAACAGTTCATCTGATCTGAGCCAGTTAAATTTGCTTCCATACAGGAGTATGGCTTTGAAAAGTCGCTTAGACCACATCGATCTGACCACTAAAGAAGGGAAGACTATCTAAAGAAAAGAAGGAAAATCCCCCAAGGATTGCTGCTCCCAAAAAACTGCGGCAGTCATACAGAAGGATCATTCAAGCCAAAAGATGATAACCGGAAAATCGCTTACCGGTGATGTGATTAAGTAGCTTCAATGCAGGACAAATGGGTGTGCGTAGAAGGAACCGCCGCCCGTTGTGTTTGATGATTGTTGTGCTGTAGAGATGAAAAGAATATACGGGGGAAAACAATGGGGCCACCACCTACTGAGAGAAGCTACTACTGGAGGAACGATGTTCATCTCCAGGAGTTGACCAAAACCCCAACAAGAGAAATTCGGACATAAGAATGTAATGAGACAAAACGTAACAAAAGAGTCTCTAAGCTAGTGAAATGAAACCAAGGAATTCCGTGAGATCTCCTCGGTGCAGTTGATCACACATTTGGCTTGTAATGTTTTGTAATCGGACAACTTCAGATTCTGAGCTACAGCGGGCATTGTCAGATAGCAAGATGAATCCGCCGAAACGTGACGTGACGCGAACCACTGTCTTGTACGTTGATATGCTGCAATATTATGCACAAGCTGTTTATAAAGGTGCAGTTCGCGTGGCAGCTTAAGCTAAGGAAGTTATTAGTTAATGGTCTAGCCTGTCACAGATGTTGTAACGCTGCCCTTTGCCTCTGCCGTCTGCGTTGCCAATCCAGTCGGGATAAAACAAAAAACCGAAGTCTGCTAGACTGAAGTATATTAGGAACAGAACGCGGTTAACTGCATAGGTCACCTGTTATTATCTTCAGCTGCACGTTCTGAGCTGACTCACGCCACTTTCCTGGAGAGATTCCACACTTGCTGGCGGTCCGCGCTGGTCAACTGTAACCGCGTTCACTCACGGCTGTCGCCATAGCAATCCATATCATGTTGACAGGCTGGTTACATTAGCTTCCCACTTGACTTTGCTGTGCAACCACCGCCAGGGTAACAATCCCTATCATGCTGAGGAACTGATTTCATTAGCTTCCGGTTTGACTATGGTAACGAGTCTGTCAGCCGCTCACATGGACTGGCTAATCTCATCACATCGAAGTCAGCCGTTTCGCTTCCGGGAAAAAAGTCAGTTAGTATCGAGCCACGCTATATCAGATCAAACAACTTATTCACATCGGCCGACGCAATCACCCGCCGTCCAACGATCCCAACTACTCACTAGCAAGAGTAGAAGGGCGCGAGTTGCAGTCCCAAAGGATAGAGATGTAACGCGTATTGATGATGATTCTCGAAAGGAACAGAGGGCCAACGAGTGCTCTTCGAATGTGCAATGGCTATCTGAATAGCTGTGCCTGTGCTGGATTCAATATACACCATTTGAAGCCACCGATACAAGGATAGAACAAGGTGACATAGCAAGTTGTGAGAGGGCTCGTCATAAAAGAGTAAATCGTCGCAATAACAGTTGCAGCACAACGCGTGTCAAAAGCACGGGCCAAAGAGCAGAAAGATGTCAGTAATACACCGATACAGTGTACCGACGCTTCGCTGCCACACGAACACTATAAGTTGCGCGCGGACTAGGTATCGCACGAGGTCTCTCGCATCTACGCGGATTCGAACTGACGAACTTTGGATAAAAAGGTAGGCGCCTTACCCTTTAAGTCAGTAACCGACGGCACAGCAGGAGCAACAATACCTACGGTTGATACAATGTATGCTGAAAAATAAGTGGACGAGAATTCACGTGGACACATTGAGTAGTAATGAGCGGTGGTGTGTGGGATAAGGTAATATCGACGTTCACCGCAGCCAGTATTCTTGAAACGAAATGCAGTTTTCGCTTTAGGATTTGCCCCAAGATTAACTCGGGTCAATGAAGTTCTCTATATAGGGACCTCTAAAGTTCCAACCGTGATATATAAGGCAATATTTCTAACCAGTGGCCCTTATCCTTCAAGACGGGGCTCACTCTTAAGAGTGACCTGTAAGGGCAAGTATAATTTTAGTGTAATAAATCCAGACCTAAAAAAACAGTGCACATTCAAAGGTAGGTAATTAATGGGAAGGTGAAAAGCATGATCCGATCAACTGAAGACCCAATGCGTAGGGAGAACAGTCGGTACCGAAATATCAGCGGATCCCGGAGCAATTCACTCGGTTCATTCAACTTAACGGAGACGGTCAATGGGCGCAGTTGTCCGGCTATGCCGCTTCACTGAATGCCTGGCTACCAGATGTATCACAGTGAGTCCCACATCGTTCGTGTAGCTGAGTCAAAAGAGGAGTCCGATGAAACTGGAAACGCCAATGTTAATGGATGTGCACATCATTTGATTACAAGCCAGATAGGTCAACTACCAATCCAGGAAAAAACTGGACGGCCGTTTCATCCTCTTGGGGCTCGTCAGTGAAGTGGGATCCTTCAGTCCCTTTCAGGCGACTAATAGTGGACTGCAGCACTACCCAGCAGCCACTGAACCATGGAGAACGATAGCTGACCATTATGGATTGGAATCTAATTGCGGTATAACCCGACTTGTTCTTCACTGCCACACAGGTTAATGCCCATGCAGAGGACAGTGATTGACCCTCAGGTGTCCAGGATTTCCTTCCAGTAGCCGTGAGTCCACACATAATTTTGAAGGCTGTCAGGGTTATGTAGTAGACTACTCACGAGTATAGTGATTTGGTGGGATTTATTTAGATCATCGCAACTAAATTACAAGCCAGATATGCCAACTACCGATCTGGAAAGACAACAGACAACCATTTGGTACACTGAGAATCGTCAGTGATGTGAATATGTTAAGTCGTTAGGTGGGACAAATGTGCTGTACGCCCTACTGCTTTATCTTTGTTGCATGAACCGCATGTCCCTGATGGACCGGAGTTGAGAAAGAATCCTCGAATAACATTAAAGCAAAGATAATGGACTCGGGTATACTTACCCGCAGTGAACTAATTCGTTCAGCTTTTCACCCAAACGATGATCTAAGGCTGTAAAAAGTGGAAACGGTGCAAACGGTTAAAAGATACACATGTGTGGTAGATATTCCAGGCAACACAAGTAGACGAACATAGCAAAGTTAAAATAGACGATTCAGGATTAGCCAGTTTAAGGATTTCGAAACATGAAACCATGGATGGAAAAGTAATGACTTGACTAACGCGGAAGAGGTTTGGATCAGCGCTGATAAAGAGAAAATGATAGGAGACATTATCTAAAATTAAACAAACAAATAAATGATTTATTCTCGACAGTGGGGGGCACGCCAAAAAAGGCACGATCATAGTAATACAGAACGTATAATCAGTAATTGTCAAAAGTGTTACTATGTAACCAGTACATACTGGAGTTATGTTTTCTGTATACATGTAAGTGCATGGTTTATTAATCATGTTGAGTGAATTTGTCACAGCTGTGCTGAATTTATGATTATGTTCGGTGAATTCGCCAACATAGGAAGGAAATAATGTCTTCGAATTGGCTAACGTCCGTGAGTGGGGTAAGGTCCTCTGGAAATGCAAGAAGCAGTGACTTTATTTAGTGGCGAGTCATATCCGCCACGTCACCCTGTTGTTAAACAGACATTTGTGGCTTTTTATAGGGAGAACACTTGCCAGGCCACAAACCCACCACGTCCTGGAACACTGCAGCCGAACCATTCGCTGAAACTGGATTAACCCGGACCACCCAGCTGGCAGGAGAATATGAGGGCCTGCCATACGAAGGAATTTCACGCCAATACGTAGAACAAATACTGATGTCTTCCATTCAGCGCGCTAGAGGAGTAGTGCCTTAAAAACCTTTCACGCTTTTACGCTGGGGCCACATTACTCCACAACTTGGAGGCTTCATGGGAAGCCAATTAAAAGAGGTCAACTGAACCCAAAATCCAAATCAAGCGGTTACTCGGACACCAGCCGAAGAGTATAATTGTTTCAGGGGGTCTGAAGACGATGGTCAGTTCGCGAAACCTGTTCATTCAAGGAAACATAAACGAAGTCACCTGTCATGTGTAACGCGGTAGTTAAAACAGAAAAGGTTGCCAGTTAAGGGCGCAAAGCAACAGTGCCACCCCCCAAAATTGTTTGCCTGTTTCTTAAATGAATGACCAGTTTGTTTAGAAAAAAATGCTTTCTTACGCCGCAGCTGATGTCGGTATGATTGACCACAAATACGAAAGCGTGGTTATAAGTGGAGGTCCCGTTTCATTTCCTCCTCCATACTAATCGACCACTAACGAACAGGAAGTCTGTGCCCTGGTGAAGCAAAATTCCGGTACTGGCTGCAGTCGTTATTTTGTTTAAAAAGGATAGGGTAGCTGCAGCTGACTCATTGTTCACAAAGTGTCTAGTAGGTCTTTCTTCTAAAACAATGTGCAAGACCACAAAAATTAGGGCTTCAGCCGAGGACTCCGCGGTATTAAGTACATTCGATGGCTCTCTCTCGGATTTTTTATTTGTACCTGTGTGTTACAATAAACTGCTCACAGATGTGCCAAGCGCTGCTGTTGAGCTATGGCCTAGTGACCAAGACGAAAGCCGTCAATCACTGTCATGTTCCCTTCTCAGCTCAAAGTATCTTTCTACATGACAAGTTCGAATCGGAACGAAACCAGTCGAACGCGGAATGCAGTGTTGAAAAAATAGCTCGGAAGCTCTCCACTTCGGATGCGGTTCCAGTGATCGAGATGTGACAGAGGTTTGTTTTAATGCGAACCGGATCCGCAATGGAGATCGCGTGTTGCAATCCAGACACAAATCGGGAACTCCAAGACCCAACAGAGGAGCTACAAACTTCTTTAAATGCCTCCCAAGCTATGTCAACGTCGCACTTACGACACTGTCAGTTGCAAACTAATCAATCTTTATACATGGTTGGCGGCATCCGGTTTCGGATTTGCCTGTCACTGTGGCAAGCCACAGGACGCCTGCGCCTACAGAGGGACCATGGATGGCTTGCGCTGCACCACCAACAGCTCCAACCACATACCCCATATCCAGTGTAAACCCGAAGGAATAAGACCAGGAGGCATGCGGATGGGAACCACGTTTCATCAACGGAGCCGGCCCACACTCCTTCACAGGCAAACACAAGCACGCTGTATTTGGGGAATCAACCGCACACAAGGCGGTGGCTGGACCGTAGTCCGCTCCACACTGAGTGCATGGAACCGCTCTTTGAGCCTAGCACGGCCACAAGAACCGTGCACCCCGTCCCCTCCAGCAACGACCAACTGTCTCCTGGAGCCAGTATGAACGATGTAGTGGGTAATAGACAGGTAGGCACCTTGTCAACATACACATCAAGCGCAACCATACCAGGGATATCAAACAACAGCCATTCAATTTAAACGACAAGCTGAAATAAAATAAATCCAATAATGCATACAGATACGGTGGCATAACTCTTCGCTAAATTACCATATGAAGTAATTTGGTTAGCAACAAATCCGTGATAAGTAAGAAATATCCACAAGTTACTTAAAATGCTACAAACGCAACAAAATTACCGAAGATAAGCGCAATTAGTGTAAGCAACGTGTGGCCAGTTAATAGAACATTATTCAGGGAGGCAGAACAAACCAAATAAAGCGAAATGAAATTTATCCAGCTTAAAAAGACCTAGTTTAAGTGTAAGTTGGTTTAGCCCAACTGCGGTGAAGAAGCATCAAGAATGCAACATCAGCCTCAGCATGGTAGAGCAGCGGACCGGAAATATTTATACATACATAGATGTATACATGGCAGAGGAGGTTATAGCTCGCTGGGGCTTGTGGTAGCGAGATCCTGGCAAATCGTTACCCGCTGTTCAAGATCTGCCAAGACACTATGTCCTGGAGAAACCCTTGTGGCGAACCCTGGATGGGAGTGGGGTTAAACCCTTCGTCTAATTAAAAGCCAGGACATGTCCGCGTGAATCGACTGACTCATGCAGCATCCCCCCCCCCCCCTCCCGACTTTGGAAAGTGCATTTTATCTCGAAGGCTCCGGCTGAGGAACCGAGTCGCCCTTCTGTTCAGGTGTGGACGTCTGAGCAGTATATCAGTCCCAGTACAAGCACGACAATCACAATTATGAATAACCCCATGCTGCATCTGTTGTGGCCTGGTGAGGGGAAAGGGTCACCTTGTCTGCTGCATACAACGAGGTCGATAAATGAAAACATGCAAATACTGAAAGCCCCCTTCCTCTCCACATTCTCTACTCCTGGTCCCCATTTCACTAGACCTGTCTGAGTTTTCAGTCCTCACTAGTACCGGAATCCGTGAGCTGCCCACAAATCAAGATTACGGAGGAACTTTTGGAGACTTCATAGAACTTTTGCTACCTAGGGAACATACTGTTAACATACCTATAGATGAGAAGAGAGCTGTGCATTAGCGCATCTAAGGCGAGTGCTGCATTTGGCAAGTTGGAATATCGGGTCTGAAGGTATCATCAGCTGACCGTTGGGATGGTGCACAAATCGATGATGTGCTTGGTTCATTTTTGGGGCAGTGGAACATGGACGTTATACCTCCCATATTTGGAGCGATTCCATCAGCAATGCTTGCTGTGGATGCTGCGCATCCGTTAGTGCAGCAGAGTTCATGGCACGAATTGTTTTGCCGACGGTGGATGAGGTGGACTACATCCTTCTACTGCAACACCTGTGGTGGATCGGACATGTCCGCCGTATGGAAACGAAGGGGATACCGAAACGCCTACTATAGAGCCAACAAGGTGTAGGGAAGCGGAATGCGAGTAAACCGCAGCCGCGCAAACATGACATAATGCAGGTTATTTTATCACGGTCGGCCCGCAAGCGTGTGTTGTAAGCTGACGTCGAGGGTTCGAACCTGCGTAGGGGGCCGGGCGACCCTCGCAACATCCTCAGCCCACGTGCGACTGTTGGTGCTTGCGCGGCAGCGAAGCACCGTTACGGCGCACAGCTGACGATTCTTCAGTGGACTGTTCAAACAAATTGGAAGTCAATCCCCAGCACGAGTTGATGCTTAGCACACACAATCAGTGTTATGTAAACGTTTGGGTCTAAGGAGAATTTACCGAAACAAATACTTAACCATCGCCCTCCTTCATTAGCTGGAATCCAGCCACCGTATTTGATCAAAGTGACATCAAGAGGGAATTCAAAAAACTAATCAAATAAAGCCAGTTGCGCTGTGGTTTCGAAGCAGTGCGCTGATTCCCTCATATTGCCTTTGACTGATATTTCTAACAAGCGACTCTCGACCAGAGTCATCGCCGACAGCTGGAGATCAGGCAGAACAAGAGCAGATGCTAAAAAATCTCAAAAGTATCGGCCTATTGCTTGTACTTCCATGCTCTTAAAGGTCCTTGAAAAGTTACTACTCCCGATGATTTTCACGGCTACCCATGATAATGATGATGTCTACCAGTTTGCATGTAGACCCCAGTGCTGTGCAGTGTGCATTTAATAGCATCCGACTTGGATAAAAGTTACAGTGAGGGGATTGTCCTGTTTTCCGAGCCGGCAGCCCAGAAAACATGGAAATCCTCTCATCCACACCCCGAGCAACAGATATCCTCAATAATTTCCAAAAGGCACAGTCCCGTACAGCCTCTCTTACTTTAGAATTCAAATGCCTTCGGGAGTCTTGACCGATCTGTGCTGTTTAACCTACTTTATTTGAACGGAAGGCACTCAAATGTCTGCGAATCGTTGCGTGACTACTTCACTGATTACGCATTTAACTCAGTTACACAGTAAAAGCTCATCTATGCTCCGCGCTGACTGTGGCGTTTTGCAGGGCGCGATTCTCTCAGCCTTCGTATGCTTTGTATACGTCGAAAGTTTTCCAGAACAAGACTTACCAACCAATTGTCGAAGAGTTTGATACAGCCCATCGTGAATCTCGTAAGCAATAGGTGCAAAGCGTGTGCACAATTCTACAAGAAAGTACAAAAAACTCCTTAAAAGCTTGCATCCAACGCAATCAGAACGTAAATTCCCACCCAATCCAGAGAGGTGTGTGCATACTCAGTACAGGATACCGTTGAATCAACTACAGCTTGGGGTATTACCTCTCGGACCAAAATTCTGACTTACCC